TGAAATAAAGGGATGGAAAATAAAAAGGATACTATAATCATGGCCCTGAACAAAGACATCTGAGGGAAGTGATTGCTGTCAGAATGAAGTATATAACCTGCTTTCAAGTACATATCTGACAGAGAAAGAAGGAGTAGGGAAGTTCCAGGATAATGGATATATATATCTCTGGATATATGTTAGAATCACCTGGGGAGCTTAAAAAAATATAGATACCTGGATCCCATAGCAGAGATTTTCATTTAATTGGGGTGGAGGTAGTAGAGTGGGCATCAGTATTTTTATAGAATCTGTATAGGTAGTATTAATGTCAGCCAGGGTTGAAAATCATTAGACTAGGATCTCAGCTAATCCAGCACAGGATTATGGCTAAGTGTGCAGTTTACAGAAAGTGCTAAAAATCAAATCAGAGTTTGCATTCCTCTAGTTAATGTTGGCATAGCCTGGAACAAAAAGAAGAGGAAAGGTGGCAGATGGAGGGATGACACCATGTGTCCCTTATACCTATTACTTTTCTCTTTATTCAAAAGTATCTGTGTGGCAATTTACATTCTTTAGATCCTGAGGCTAACTGAGTGGATAGGTCTTGATAATATAATCAGTAATCAATGACGAACTCAAATATTATTGCTGTATAATACTTTTATTCAACAGTTTTACGGGAAAAAAAACCCCTCACATTTCTGTATGTGTTATATCACATAATTTTCAGACATGTCAGAGTCCAGTGAAAAATTACATTTGGAGAAAAGCTTTAAAATTCATTCTTGTATGCCACTCCTTTGTGAAATACCGAAAAGCAGCTCTGTATCGCAGCACTAAAGGTTACAAAAAGCACCATTTAAAGGAGGACTCACATGTTTAATTCCCTTTATAGTCTTATTCCCCCTTTGTAACAGAGCTGTACTCACTCATAATGCTTCAGTGTAGTAACAACCAACATTCTCCAATTTACCGAAATTTAAACAAGTTTCACATATGGGGCCCAGTGTGGAGATTAGGACTAATCAACATTAGTGGGCTTTGGCTGTTCTAAAACCACAACCTGGGTAGGTGTTCTGTAGATGGGAATAGAAAAGAAATAGGATGATGAACACATAATGTAATACTTATAGTAGGTACCTCCTCGACCATTTTAACCTGACTATAAAATCCACATAGCATTTAGTTTTTCATACCAATCTTACTGCAAAAGCACTGTGCTACACAAAATTCGACTCCAGCTAATGTTGGAACTAAAACAAAATTTAATTTTTAACAAAACGTATTCATTCAAAGCACAACTGAGGGGCTTCCCTGGTGGCGCAGTGGTTGAGAGTCTGCCTGCTGATGCAGGGGACACGGGTTTGTGCCCCGGTCCGGGAAGATCCCACGTGCCATGGAGCGGCTGGGCCCGTGAGCCATGGCCGCTGAGCCTGCGCATCTGGAGCCTGTGCTCCGCATTGGGAGAGGCCACAGCAGTGAGAGGCCCATGTACCGCAAAAAAAAAAAAAGAAAGTAAAAGCACAACTGAGTAAAGCAAATCAAGACAAAGCCCAAATTTGAATCCTAGAGGGATTCCACTGCGAAGAATTGGATTTCGTAAGTAACAGACTCTTGGAATTCTTTCCTTTTCTGTTTTCTTATAATTTTTAAAGATTTGGCCTTTTTACTCCAAAAGTTTCAGTTCATTTCAGAAATCACAGCCCTTCAACCTCCAGTTGTGACTGGTGCTTAAGGAGAGACAAATGCCTAGATCCAGAGTTTTAAAAGACCCTAACTCCTATCCCTCCCAGGTCCTCCATCCCATGGGTAACTAGAGTCAGCAGTTCCTAGAAGACAGCAACAACTTGGCTTTAAGGAGGAGTCACAATAATGCAGGAACCAACTGTGTATCTGCTCTTAAGCCTAGGCCCCAAATCACTAGAACGTGAGGATTTAGAAATCTCTGAGAATAGAATGTATTTCAAACATACGCAAACATAGACTACTGCATATCATTTTTAGTTGAGGTCAAAAATTTAAAAGCTCTACTTCCCCAATTAAAAGCAGGGGATTCTATATCATTAATGTGTCTCCTTCATTTATACCCAGATAAATGTAAGACCGGTCTAGAGGTAACACTTCTTTCTGAATTTACCTTCATTTTAGCAGCATATGTGGAGTACCAACACTTTTCAAAGATTTTATCTCAGATCCATTAGGTCTACGAGACTAGAAATAATTGGGGTGAAGTGAGTGGGCCTGGGTTTGTAGGATCCTGTCAGAAACCTCTCTTGGATTCTTCTTTTACAGAGCTTCTTTACCATATATAAGCACTGTTTTAAAAAAAAGCCAACACTGTTGAGGCCAGGTATGACCTTCAGGGGTTTTGCCTACAGTGATTAAATCTCATTCAACTTTAAGCTTAAAACAAGCTAATAACCATACCACAGAAGTTCTCCTTACCAGCAAGATGACTAATATTTGTTTTAGGTAATGTTTGACTTTAGACCCTGGTAAAGTCTGCCTGACACATGAAGTTAAAGCACAACATAGGAGAAAGTGTAGAAAATAGAAACAAGAAAAAGATTTTTTATACTGTAAATTCTGTACAATGAGATCCAAAGACACCAGTATATGTTTGATTTAATTTAAAAAAGGATACTTTTAGTTCCGAGTTACTTAAGCCTTAACTTTCCTAGTACCACTCCTCAGCTCAGTTACTCTTTCTTTTTCCCATAACTCCTAAACCATGATATAGTTCAAGAGTCAGCCCTCCCTAAGAATTACATTCTTACTCTTTGACTGTGAAACTCTTATAGGCAAAACACATTTTAAAAACCCTAAAAAAATCTTTTTCCTTTATTCGTTTTCAAAATCTGTCAAATTCTTCTGCAGAAAATAAACTATCCCTTTAACCAATATAAAAGAATGAGTGAACTGTACTCTTGGGTACCTTCCTCCCTCCCTCGCAACCTTCTAGAACAGTTTCTAGGGGACAGACTGAGAGTATGATAGGAATTCTCAAGGCCGTGGTATGTTAGTCAGCAGTACAGAGAAGGGACAGGGCTGAATGAGTCATCATCCAATTCCTCTTACTGATCCCTTTCCATACCAGCTGGTAGGCTCCAGTTTCACATCTGGCTGAAAGATTACCTCAGAATTTTGAAAACTGACACTTTCTACACATTTCCAGATTAGAAGGATCTGAAGGTCACCAGCACCAAAACCTACTGTCACTGGAGACAGACCCATTTCACAGAAGCCTCTGGCCTGAGAGAAACTGAAGGAATCTCTTTTCCTGCCACACTCTAATTATCCGTGCAGAATAGAGATTTTAATACAGGAACACAGAGACAATTACACGTCAATACTGCTGACAAGACATACGAGTACAACAAAATCCTCTAGGTGACAACCAAGATTTTAAATCCTCCTAAGTGGCCCACTTGTTTAATGGGTAATGGAAAAAACAAAATTCTAGTATAACTGAAGACAATGCAGATCCTGAGAGTTGGCAGTAACAGAATTTGGCCTGGATTTTTAAAATGGCACACCATTCTAAAAGTGATTGGAACCATAAAACGTTCTCCACAAAAGCCTTTTGAGGCGGATGGTGGCCCTGAGTGGCTAAAGCAGTATTTACTCTCAGCAATTAACCACCAAAGCACTTAGCAATTTACATTCCCAGCAAGACAACAATCCCATACCCTACTGCCTCACACACAGGATCTAAGAGTTCTACATACTGGAAGACAACTGTATCATCAGCTTTACGTGGGAAAGACAGGAGGTAGCTAATTTACCTGTGGGTGCCCTTTCAGTGGGGCTGGGCTCATCTTAGCAGTCAAGGAGCCTCTCCAGCAACAAGTTTAGCCTCCTTCAGTATTGAACGTTTGGCTTGCATTTATCTGTAATGGAAGAGCCACAGAAACTTGGGGAAAAATATCTTATCTCTGAATCTCAAGAGTGGAGTGAATAGATACTTTTTACTCCACAAATGGAAATCACTGACCCCACTTCATCAACAAACACTTTCTGGAAGATAAAGAACAAGATAACTCTGTTAGCATTTAGTGCATGAAAGGGATACTTTTCATGGCTGGGAACACCAAGGGTAATTTCTTGCCTCTTGAATCCTTAAGTTGAGGGACACTTTTAGGTGCATAAAATGAGCCTGAATGGGTCTGTATCTAGAGCAATGTTTACTGTAATGATGTACACAGAGTCAGCCTTATTAATCTAAGACTGTAGGGGACCAGACTAGAGAAGAAAATATTGGGAGCAATTTATCATAAGCCTGAAGTTCTCCAAATGCAGTCTCTTAAGACCAATGAAAAGGCATTTTTTTTTTTGCGGTACGCGGGCCTCTCACTGCTGTGGCCTCTCCCGTTGCGGAGCACAGGCTCCGGACACGCAGGCTCAGCGGCCATGGCTCACGGGCCCAGCCGCTCCGCGGCATGTGGGATCTTCCCAGACCAGGGCACGAACCCGTGTCCCCTGAATCGGCAGGCAGACTCTCAACCGCTGCGCCACCAGGGAAGCCCGAAAAGCCATTTTCTGATAAAAGAAAAATGTAGGCACATAAAAATCTTCCAAGGATGAAAGACATGAAAGTTTTCCCTGGCTTCACTCCCACCTTCAAAGCTATCTGCTCTGTGAAAGAAAACATGGAAGCAGGGCCAAACCAGGTGGGAAAAAGTATGGGAATGTGCCAATACAGCCTAAACTGTGGCACCAAACCAAAACAAAAAAGTAGACTTGCATTCTGCCTTTCATATAAGGCTGAGACATATTTTCTTCAGTAGAAGTTAAAATAAGTGGTGACAAAGTGTCATGGGCCTGTGCTGAGCTTAAAAAGGAGACTTTCTGGCCACCCTAGTCTGTAAGGTGGGTCAGGTCTCACACAGCCTTTTGTTTGTTTGTTTGTTTGTGGTTATGCGGGCCTCTCACTATTGTGGCCTCTCCCGTTGTGGAGCACAGGCTCCGGACGCGCAGGCTAAGCAGCCATGGCTCATGGGCCCAGCCGCTCCGTGGCATGTGGGATCTTCCCGGACCAGGGCACGAACCCATGTCCCCTGCATCGGCTGGCGGACTCTCAGCCACTGCGCCACCAGGGAAGCCCTCACACAGCCTTTGAAAGGGGTCACTTACCCACTGAGTTTTGTGTTAGGCAAGAGTCAGATATAGGATCTGAAGGAGGTTAACAAAGCAAGAATGTGAAATGAGAGGAAAAAGGGTTCTTGTGGGGTACCTGGTATCATAAAAAAAACACAGATTGTGCACATACTCTGGGAATACAGAGAACCCATGCAAGAAAAGCTGCTCCTGCAAGGAGGCAGCTGTAAGTAGGGCAGCACTCTGGCACAAGTCCATCCCTTGGAGAGCCAAGGTAGCAGTGATAGAATCTCCACCCAACAAGGATCCTGAGAGTTTGCTCTTCATTCACTTTAGGAAAAAAGCTTCCTGTAATGGTTCTTCCTGCAGCTCTCCCCAACAGATCTTGGTGAGTTCCCACAGGCAGAGAGAATACATCTAGCTAGGAGGCTTCCATTAACTTTCCTCTCGTGTGTGTGTGTGTGTGTGTGTGTGTATATGATTTTTTCTTAAAATAAATTCCATGAACTCCTAAAGCTCTCATTTGCAATCAAATGCAAAAGCAGAGCATCCTACTCAGAGGCTCTGAAACACACATATTAGCCTCAAAGCAAATCAGCCTTCCAGGCCCAGGTAAGACTGGTCTAGTCCAGAAAGGCAAGGGAGATGCTTCTCCTGAATCCTGGGAGGCAGGAAGGAATCCCTTCAGATGGGCTTGTACAGCAGAGTAGTGACATACTTCTTCTTGTAGCGATGCGTTGCGCTAAGGACCATCACACTGTCCTGCAAGGGAAATAAACATATGTAATTAATTCACTAGTTCAGGACGTAGGCAGCTGTTCCCAGCTATTAATCCTTCACAACCGCTCACTTTTAACAGAGTTAGTTTGATATTATAAAAAAAAGGTTGGTTTTGGATTCAAATCAATTTAAGTTTTGATCCTGACTCCTACTGTTACTCTATTTGTGACCTTGAGTAATCTACTTAATGTCTCTAAGTTTTTTCTATCATTACAAAGGACAACACCTACCATTAATACGGCTCTGATGATTACATGAAAATAGCTGACAGAGAAAGTACGTGCTGAAAAAATATTAGTATCCTACCTCACTTCCTTCCCCACCTCACATTCAAATATTGGGCTTAAAACTATGATGGAAAAAAAGGGCTTCCCTGGTGGCGCAGTGGTTGAGAGTCCGCCTGCCGATGCAGGGGACACGGGTTCGTGCCCTGGTCCGGGAAGATCCCACATGCCGTGGAGCCGCTGGGCCCGTGAGCCATGGCCGCTGAGCCTGCGCATCCGGAGCCTGGGCTCCACAATGGGAGAGGCCACAACAGTGAGGGGCCCGTGCACCGCAAAAAAAACAAAAAAAAAAAACAAAAAAAACAACTATGATGGAAAAAAAGAAATATCCTGATATCTATCTCTAGAAGGAAGTCCTAAAAGCAATGAGAAAAAAGGGCAGTGATCCTTTTGAAAAACCATTTCCAAGCCCCATTTAATACCAGGGATGAACTTTAAAAAAAGTCATCTCTGATCAAGAGGGGACTCAGGAATCATCTTCTATCCTTGAACAAAGTGGACCCTAAAATCCTCCTTGGAAAGACACTCAATCCAATGGATCAATTCCAAACAGCTTAAACAATCTGAGAGAACCAGGGATAGGTCATGGCCAAGCTGAACCACAACAATCAAGACCTTGACCTGGGTCAGAACCAGTGTGAAGAGTAAGAGGTACCATTTCCCAAGCAGTGTTACAGACCCTGGGTGTACCATAGAAAGAGATGGCAGACCTGTGGACATCACCTGATAGCCAAAGAGCAGATACAGGAGGCAAAATTCAGTTAGATCACAAAGAACCCAAGCAAATCCAATTAAGAAACCAGTGCCTCTTCCTATTTTCCTCTATATTGTATCATCTACAATGAATACTTCTCAGATTGACATTCTGTGACCATAGTATGCAGATCACAGCCTAAAAATGATAGAAGCAAGGCAGGTAAAAAATTCAACTCCAGAAAGAGTTTGGTGGAAATGAGAAGTGGGTGAGAGAAAGATCTACTTGGAAGAACCAGCACAATGGTCTCTAGGAAAGGACATGGAATAAGGATGGGAGGACTGGACCTCAGTCCTCTCTCTTGTACTTATTGGCAATATGACCTTCTATGAGCCTTAGTTTCCTTATCTATAAAACAGGGTTAAAAAATAATACTTAGCCCACAAGGTTATTATAAAAATTAAATTCAATAATACACATTTAGTAAATACCAGGTAATCTGTTAAAGACAGCTGTATCAGTGACTTCCCTAATCTGGCTGCACATCTAAGAAATATAAGCAGCTTAAAAATATTACTGAGGCCCATCCTAGATGCACTTATTCAGAATCCCTGGGGATGGAGCCTCTGAATCTATATTTTCCCAAACTTCCCCCAAGTGATTCTGATGATGTTCAGCTTAGTTTGGTAACTACAGAACTATATAAAATATTATTCCAATAGCCAGACCACAAAGACATGACAAGACTGAACAGATATTTTCAATCCAGAATCTAAAGCAGCAGAGAAACCAAGAAGCATTCTAAGAGCTGGAACTGGGATGTGGGGGGACAGGGCAAGTCTGGTCACATTTCTCCTCTAAGTAGTAGATAGGAAAGATGCAAGCACTTGAGTATATATGACTCAGGCAGGTGAAAGCAGCTCATGTCCACCTCTAAAAAAGTGGAAGCCTTAATATCACATTCAAGCATTCTTTGAACTGGAAGGTAAACTTGCTTTTTCTGTAAATGAAATCCTAGTACTATGAACTCAAACTTAATTAAGTAGGTGGTGCAAAGGTTATAGCTACCCAGAAAGAAACCAGGAAGCAAAAAAGTCCATTCAATCACAGCGCAATTCAGCTAGCCAGAACTCAGATATCGAGACTAAAATTTAAAACAAACAAACCCACTAGTTAAAGAAAGAAACTTCTTCTCCTATAAATTGACCATTACTGCCAGCTTCAGCTTCAGTGAAGTAGCAGAGCAAGTAGCCACTAGGGAACACGTGTTCAACTCTTCCCCTCCCATTTTGGGGAACTATGTGAAGAACCAGGCCCACCACTTACCTTAATGGACAATGCATAGAGATGGTTCAGCATAACATGATTGGGCTCGGGGAGCAAGGCTGGATCACACTAAGAGGGGTAAAGAAAAACAAACCCAAAAAACACCACTAAATGCGGTTAAACGCACAATCCTAAACCAGTTTATTCTTCCTCAGAGATCTTTGGGACTGTTGAGAGACTCAAAACTAGAATGTATTATTTCCTTTAAATAATGCACTCATCCTAGTATATATAAATAATACATTCTCATTACAGAAAATTAGGAAAATTCTGAGTCCAGGGCAGAAACCCTTAGCCTCACTACCTATTCATCCTCTTTAACAGACCTTGCCCACAACACATATAGAAGATTTGTGTAAGAGGCAAAAATAATCTTAGTGGGAATCAAGTGAATTGACTAGAAATGTAAATTATATGCAAAATATACTTCTTTTGGATATCCCCAAATGATAAATACTCCTTATCTTATGTTGGAATAGAAGTCTTAGAAACTGGTTCTAGCAATCCATAGCTCTGAGCCTGATATATTAGGACCAGAAGACAACTATGAATTTAGGTAACAGTATTTGGAAAAGTCGCAACTCAGCCCTGGAAAAAGGAACTTGTAAAACTACTGATACGTATATGATTTATACTCAACACACCTTTGTAATAATCCCAACCTCTAGGATTACTACACTGTAGCTCAAATGGTCTAGTAACCCCCAGATGCCCCAGCAATACTCTTAGGATACTCACAGATATATTAGTGTCCTTGTTAAGAATAACTTGGAGAAGGTGAGGAGGCAGGATGGGTGGGGATTTGAATCTCTCCTCTGATCGAAACACATACATTTCTTGACCATAAGGCCCTGGGGGTGAGCTGGAAAGGTCTGGAAGATATTTATTCAAATATAAGGGTAAGTTGGAGAGCTATTAAAGATGCATGAAAAAACTGTCAGTAAATGGCAGCTAATATTAAATATGGTAGAAGTCAAGAATCAAACTTGTGACTTGTTGGGTCTACAACTGTAACGCAAACAAAGAAAAAGTCTGCGTCATCCTGAACATAAACCATGAAGTTCCTCAACATGGTAACATGACGTGAAGGATAGGGGAGGAGATGAGGGGTAAAAGATGTAGGTTCAGGGAAGAGCTACTCCATTTATCAATTGTATGACTTGGGACAAATCCCTCTTCTATAGTCAGTTTCCTCATTCATAAAATGAAAATAACAATCTCTGCCCTATTTCACAGCGCTTTTATAGGAATCAAATGAGACAACAGATGTGACAATGCCTTATAAACTATCAAACAATATGAAAATATTAGATTTGTTCTTTTTTCCAGTCAAGCAGCAAGGTTATAAACTCTAAGACTACTGATACTACGATGACTGCAACAAAAAGGAAAAATTAATAACAATGTAGTAGTCATTAGGGGAATGCAAATCAAAACCACAATGAGATACCACTTCACACTCATTAAGATGGCTAGAATAAAAAAAGACAGACAATAATAATTATTGGCAATGATGTGGAGAAGTTGGAACCTTTGTATTATTCCCATTGCTGGTTGGAATGTAAAATGGTGCACCACTTTGGAGAACGGTTTGGCAGTTCCTCCGAAAGTTAAGCACAAAGTTACCATATGACCCAGCAATTATACTCCTGGGTACATGCCCAGGAGAAATGAAAACATATGCCCACACAAAAACTTGAACACAAATGTTCATAACACCATTATTTGTAACAGACAAAAAGTGGAAACAATCCAAATGTCCGTCAGCTAATGAATGGATAAATAAAATGGTATATCCATGGAATGAATTATATATATTACAACATGGATGAACCCTGAAAACATTATGCTAGGTGAAAGAAGCCAGACACAAAAGACCACGTAGTGTATGATCCCATTTATATGAAATGTCCAAAATAGGCAAATCCATAGAGACACAAAGTAGATTTGTGGTTGCCAGAGGCAGAGGGAAGGAGGCAATGGGAAGTGACTGCTAATGGGGATGGGGCTTCTTTTGGGCGTGATTAAAATACTCTGGAATTTGGACTTCCTTGGTGGTCTAGTGGTTAAGAATCCGCCTGCCAATGCAGGGGACACGGGTTTGATCCCTGGTCCGGGAAGATGCCACATGCTGCAGAGCAACTAAGCCCATGTGCCACAACTACTGAGCCTGCGCTCTAGAGCCCACAAGCCACAACTACTGAGCCCATGTGCCTAGAACCCGTGCTCTGCAACTAGAGAAGCCACTTCAATGAGAAGCCCACACACTGCAATGAAGAGTAGCCCCCGCTCGCTGCAACTAGAGAAAGCCTGCATGCAGCAGTGAAGACCCAGCGCAGCCAAAAAAAACAAAACAAAACTCTGGAATTATATAGTGATGATGGTTGCACAACTCTGTGAATATACTAAAACTTACTGGATTGTACACCTTAACAGAGTGAATTTTGTGGCATGTGAAATTATATCTTTAAAAAATGGAAAAAGTGTATGCAGACAGAATAGAAATACACAAAAATGCAGAGAACTATAATTTTTTGCTTAAAAATTTTTAATGTTTTTTACAGTTTCTAGTAAAAAGGATTTTAATAACCAGTTCAGCATAAGAACTCAGATTTCAATTAAATATACCGTGGGACAAAAGAAAAGAGTAGCAAAAATACTGTTATATTAAACAATATCTTAAAAATGTATAGAACTTGAAACTTTTCAAAGTACTCTCAGGTATTTTATCATAGATCCACAAAAACACTCTTTGCAAGTACATAGAACAGTTTTGTGTTTTTTTTTTCCCTTTCCATCAGAAAAAAAAATGGTTAAGTCATTTACCCAAAGTCACATACACGGCAAAGATGGTCACTGAGTGCAGATTAAAACCCATTATCTGAAGATTCCTAATAAAATGTATTCTAAACCCTACCTCAGTGGATCAGGAAATTGGGTGAAAGTGGGAAGAGAGAAATATCAAAAGTATGCTAGTCCTCTTTCTCTATAATTATGATTATATGTCTACTATTCATTGGTTGCTTTGCTGGAATCATATAATGCAAAAATTTAGAGTAACCAGTGGCCTCATCATTCAATTCAGTATTTTTAAACTCTTCTAAATCTCTGCACCACCAGTTAAGAACAATGTCCAGCCTTACTTTCTGAGCTTATATAATGAAAACAATATCTTTGTAATTTTCCTAAACAATTATTATACTGTTGCTTATTCTTCTAGAAACTGTATAAGCCACTCTTGTGTCCTGAGATTCTAATATGTCTCACTTCAGGTACTGTGTCTCCTCAGCTGTGAATCGCTGAGAGTCTAAGCCTCTGATTTTACTGATAAGGAACCAAGAACCAAAAAGGCTGATGGAGTTGTCCATGATGCAAAGCTAGTTAGTAGCAGAGGCAGGCTTTGAACTCACAAGGGAGAAGTGTGCTTACTGGAAATACAGTTCTTTATACAGTCATAGCCTTTATTGTAAAACAACAAAATTGGTAACTGTGAGTATGGATAGCAAATCACTTTTCTGGTTTTATAGCTAAAGTAAGGAGAGATGAAGGCCTTGGAAAAAGCACTGGGAGAAACAAAAGGATACAAGTCTTTTCCTCTACGAAGGGATTTTTTTTTTTTAACCCAAAACTTACAAAACTTCAGTTAACATATACACAAAAGAAATGTGAGGTTTGGGAACTTCCCTGGTGGTCCAATGGGTAAGACTCCATGCTCCCACTGCAGGGGGCCCGGGTTTGATCCCTGGTTGGGAACTAGATCCTGCATGCATGCCGCAACTAAGTCCACCTGCTGTAACTAAAAGATCCTGCATGCCGCAACAAAGAGGCTGTGTGCCGCAACTAGGACACAGCACAGCCAAAATTAATTAATTATTTAAAGAAATTTTTTAAAAAAAGGAAATGTGAGGTTTTTATAACCCTCTTCCCCCAAAAAACTGCCATATATGTAGGGCCCTATAAAATTATAGAACAGCCAACTGAGCTATCAAACTGGCAGGATTAAGCTGAGGCAGCTAAACAAGGCATATGAGACACAGCTAGCCCCTGCTAGTTGATACTCTCAAAGGTCAAAGAAAAACTTGAAATATTACTAGAAATAGCTTTTTAAACTATAGACCATAGCCTATTAGTGGTTTATAAAAAGAAGGATAAAATAGAAAATAGAGTACTTTACATGAAATTAAGGCAAATATTATACTGTAAGACTTGTGTTACTGTTTTGTGTGTGTGTGTGTGTGTGTGAGTGTGTACTGGGTTACAGTGTAAACCTACTGGTTAAAAAGTTTGAAATCAAATACACTAGACAGATTTTTTTCTTGAAGACGGGTACCTAATGTTTATAGGAGAAACATATACATACAATTCATAAGATTCCTAAGGAGAAAATGAAAAAACAAACAAAAACCACTCTTGGGAAGAAACACGCATTATAAGAAAAACAGATCAAGAAAGAGCAAATACTACAAAATTACCTCGACAAGATGTCTCTGAGCTTTCCATTGAATCTAGCTTTAAAGCATCAAACACCTCAAAATCAGATTTCTTGACATGGATCAAATTGTTAATTGTGCCAAGCTGACTGGTAACCACAGGCTGAAACAATGAATGGAAAAAAAATTCATGAAACCCCATTTCAAGTACATCTCTTCTATTCAACTCTCCTCTTTTTAAAAGGGATCATATTTGGCACCACCATCTTTTATCAAGAAAGAAATCCAACAGTATAGGAGCCTATCAGTCCTGACTGCAATGATGTTTGACACCAAGGGGAATGATAGTTTAAAGGAGACTGTTAAGTCAGTGGTTACCCTCGGAGATCAAGGCCTTACCTCTGATGGATCATGAACCCATTGTCCATCCACAAAGAACTTGTACTGGTGCTCTCCCTCAGGGAGGTCCAGGATGGCAACAAAGTCATTATGGCTATAGAAGAAAACAGAAAGTTAAATAGGCCAAATTTCTATTAGAAGACAGAATATAAATGTAAAAACCACGAGGCAATCACAATATCATACCAATGATCTCCCGCATTCTTAAGTGATTGCAACCCCTGTAGTAAAAAATAATTTATAAACCCATTCTCCTTTTTTATATCACCTTGAGCATGTATTTGCTAGCCCCTCCCAATAACTTTAGTTCTTAACTAATATCTGGAAAAGAACAATAAAGATGTTAATCCTCCCGAATGTTCCACCTTAGTACAACTATTTTGCTTCAGCAAAACGGATCCCTCATGAATGTAAATAAGATAGCAAGTAGGTTCAGGATAAGAAGTGCCTCAAGGTACCCTTCCCATATTTTGGTGAGCAGATTCTAGAAAATCACCTATATACAAAGGGCCATAACCAGTTACATAATTCACTGTTGCTCTGAAAGCAACAAACAACATTACTACCTAGAACTTTACAGTGTGTTTTGTTTTAGTGCAGAAGTCAGAGCAACTGGACTCAGGCAGTTATGGAAGACTTCCCACAAGCATAGAAAGGACTTGTGTTAACACAGTCTTAAAGAAAATGACATTCTAAGTGGTAAAACATCTCTGACTCACTATGAGGTTAGAAAAAAATGTCACAGATATACTTATTGGTCACAGAAAATATTCTAGAGAGAGTCCCTAGCAGGTGGAGAGGAGTAGTCCAGCCAGGTCTCTCTCCTAAGAAAGGAAATCAAGTCTCTACTCCTGGACCCTGTAGACTCAACCAAGACACTTGTCTTCACCTCTTAATCAGTGGAATCTTGGTGCTCCAATTGTTGAAGGACCCAGAGATGAAGACCTCCTTGCCTCCTTCAGACCAGCGGATAACAGTGGGCCGGGCCTGCTGTGTGGGCTTTACGGAGTCCTCCAAATCCTGCTGCCATGATACAAACTCTTTGTCCCCAGGGAGCTGTAAGAAGGATTAGGTCATCCCTAAATTGTGACCCAGGAATTCTGAAAAGGTCACTCTCCTCCCTAGGGCAGAGAGGGGTGCTACGTTTCTGCTAAGGGTTAATAAGCCTTGAAATTAGCAACTAAATCAGATTTTAAACAAACTATAGAAAAAGAACTCATCTAGGACCAAAATGGTCAAATGGCTTATGCTCAAAGGCTACCCAAATCACAGCCTAACTTCTGAGTCTGCATGTATCACTCATTCTTTCAGAGCCTTAGGATTTCCCTTAAGAAACAAACAAACAAAAAACCTTACTTCCTCTTACCAGATTAACTCATAGGCAGACAATTATGATATGCTTCTGAGTGTCTCTTAAGAGAAAAAATATGAAAATAAAGTATGGTTCTACAAAAAATAATTAAGTTAACCACATGCAAATATGAGCAGCTCCCAATTTATCAGTTGTAATAGAAATTAGAGATGCTAAAATCCATAAGTAATTCACAATCTCTACTTTAGTTAATAGGTTACAAAAGGACATTAAAAGTATAAAAATCAGGGCTTCCCTGGTGGCGCAGTAGTTGAGAGTCCGCCTGCCGATGCAGGGGACGCGGGTTTGTGCCCCGGTCCGGGAGGATTCCACATGCCGCAGAGCGGCTGAGCCTGCGCGACCGGAGCCTGTGCTCCGCAGTGGGAGAGGCCACAGCAGTGAGAGGCCAGCATACCGCAAAAAAAAAAA